AGCAAAAAAAAAATAAAAAAAAATAAAAAAAAAAAAAAAATTGAAACTCTATCTATAAGCCTAATTCAAAATAGATCAGGATGAGGGGAAAGGCATCCTGCAGTTCAAGTGGGCACTGGATCGAGTTCTACCTAGACATTAGCCGCAAATTGAAACAAAATGCAGAAACATAAAAGTGCAGTGCATTTTTATGAGAAGTGGGGATGTGCAAGAATACAGATTTCAGTTTCCCCCCTTCAAAGACAACATGAAAATAAAACACAGTGGAGGAGAAAATAATTGAGTTATGGCAGGAAAATATCATGACAGTTTCATTTTAATTTAATGTTGTTCTATTAGCTTTGATTCTCATATAAGGTCCTTGAGCCTTGCTGCAYCAGCACTCACAAAGCTCTCTGTCTGCCTCTTCACAGGGTCTGATGCTGGGATTCCTCTTTTCAGCATTCACACACTTCCACCTAAGTTACCTTTCACTATTCTCGACTAACCTTCAATGCCAGCTTAAATGCCTTGCATTTACATGTGAGGGTATTGCAGAAGCCTTAATGCACACCTTGAAACAGGACACGAGTCATTTTGCAGGGTCTTCCACTGGTAAAAGGATAAAGGTACGGCAKCAATGCTTTCTTACAAATACAATACTCCTTTCAAATAGAATTGTTGAAAAACCTGTGTTTCTCTTTCTGAACAAAGAAACAAGTTTAGGTCAAGAAATCCATTTTTAGAAGCATACAATGCAAGGGCAAATCTAATGCTGGGGGTCAATCCTATTGATTTTAAGAAAACCAGAGTGCAGTTCACTTCAGCCTACGCTTCTCCCACTTCACTAACTCATGATACACTGCTTACTTAAGCTCTAGTAAACTAATTATTGGCTTATCTATCTTGCAAAGGGACGGTCCCTASGGATTTCACTGGAAAGATGGCAACTGTTTTAAAGAATGGTGTTGCTCAGTGCTTTGTATTAAGACGGTCATTAGAAGTTGCAATCTGTGATAAATGCATATGGGCTGATGTTTTTCTGATAAAAGTCCATAATAATATAGGAGAAAAAAAAATGTAATTTTCTTTTTCATCCTGTATTCTCTTACTGCATTTTTATTTGTGAATTTATTAAGATCAAATGTATATTGTGCAATATCCTTTAGAAGCTTTCTAACAGCTATGCCATACCATCTGTATGCCTGTATCACTTCTCACTGGTGCATCAATGCTTTAACAGCATTTACTGGACACATTTCAGAGCACACAAATCCACTACTGTACTACAAACATTTATTTTCCTTTTCTGTAAATAAAAGTAGCTTTATAGTTTCCATAACTGAATAAACTGCTGCTGAATCTCAAAAAAAATAAACACACTAGCTCATTCTAAATATTTATTTCTTTTGAAAGAAGAGAGATAGACTAGGGTTTTGTTCGGATTTTTTTGTTTTGTTTTTGTTTTAATAACAAAGCAGCTAACCTGAAAACAAATGCTTTTTAGCTGTGGAATTTCAGAAGTTAGACTTGAAAACACAGGCCCAAAATCTTCCTGCACAAAGCAATTTRGGCTCGCTTTTAAAATACTGTCTTTGAAAGCAGCTGTCAGTAGATTTGGAGTGAGTAAGTTAAAAACCTGCTGAAAACAATATTAGGAGAATAAAAGCAAATACCTCACTTTTGTGTGCTCCCAGCTTGCCTGTATGGGAGTGTGGAAGGGCACTAGCTGTCACGGGCGCTTCTGTGCTCTGTGATGTGCTGCGCAYGTTGCTGCGCTAATGAGGAGCAATGAACGGGTTCCGATATCCCCCTGCATTTTACTCAGCCTGTCTTTTTAAGAGCATTCCTTCTCATTGCTTCACAGCAGGGATTTCTTTCTCTCACAGGGAGCCAGCTTGGTGGGTGTTTGCATGTATGTGGCTTCAGAAGGATACATTTGAAAGCTGCATGTTGCATAGAATAATACTAAGCTGCTTAGCTTCTCTATCGTGGCTCCCCTCTAAATAATAGGAGCTATAGCACAGGGAGGTACAAGAATAATTGTATGACAAAAATGTTAAGAACACAGATACACCAGTTTAAGGAGCCTGGAAAGAAAATTTATACCACAAATAATAATTCCCTCAGCATGTTTGACTTAATAAGTAGCATGTATCCCCATCAACAGGGACAGCTCATCCTTCTTCTCCTGGGACTGAACATTAACTGGACCTGATATCTATAGGAGAACAGTTTGAATTCAGTCTTTTACACTCATCTCTGAACTTCAACTKTCCTTTAACATCTGGTTTCAGATGGTTGATCAGGAATGAGACATTCTTCCAAATTTTTTTTATTGAGAAAACACCAAGAGGGGAGCTACAGAAAGGATTCCATCTGCCTGTCATAATCACCCTGAGCCTACACTTCAGGCATGGAATGAGTTAGTTCTCCTATATCAATTATACAATACAGGCTTTTGAATGCTTGAAGAAAAGGGAAAAATAAGGAGCAGACAGTGGTACGAGATACCTTCAGCAGCTCCTGGCAGACACACAGAAGCACTCCAGCTAAGACCTGCAACAACAGCATCATTCAGTCATGAAGGACACTAGCTCAATGGTTATCTTGTACTTCTCCCACAGACCTCAAATACATGCTACAAGCATCTGCATTCTATTTTCTGTTTAAGGTTGGAGAAACTGAGACACTCAGGAAGAACCGATTGTCCTCCTGGCTCGCGGCAGCAGAACCAGCACATAAATCAATTCTCCTGAGTCCGAGCACAAGGCTTTCTTAATCAGACTATACCAAAAAAATAAAAAAGTATCATGCTGCGACTATGAAGTACCTGATGGAACTCATCTGAGAGAAAAAAAAGGAATAAAGTCACAATCCATTTGGTTCTTACTCTAGATAAACCTCTGACTTTAAACATGGGGGAGAAACATGCAAAACCTACAACTTGGCTTGTTCAAAAAGAGGCTCCACTCAGTGCTGTATCACRAGGCAGCTGCAAGTGGAGAGCCTTGCCTGTAAGAGGTGTTTGGTCCTCTGGTGCTTTGTCTGGCTTTTCAGATATTAGTAAAATCAAGCTAATCTGGCCTCACTAGAAGACCTCCACCATCTCTTCCCCTGCCCCCCTTTTTTTGAAGGATCTCTATTTTATCTTCCTTTCCTGCTTTTCTCCTTCCTACTGACTCACACTGCATGTAATAAGTGTTTGTTATTTCTTGCATTTTTCTTCCTTTCCCTCCTTTCGAAGACATCAGAACCACTGGAAAAAAACACTCCTTTAAAAAAGATCAATCTCTCATGTAAGTGGTACGTACAAGGTATCAAGAGCCTGATATAATGAAGTTGGTGTGTGCTCTACAAGCACAGTCACTATCCATAGGATAGCCTTCACACAAATATGCTCAAAGAGACCACTTTGGTGTCTCTCAACATAGACAGGGAAAAAGAGTCAGGAGTAACAGTTCAAAAGAAATTACGCTAAAAACTGCACAAGCACATGAAGCTCAGAAGACCTCAGATGCAGAGATATTACTGTTTTAATAGTGTCCTGTCATTTCTGTGAACTTTCATCAGCTAGAATATTCTACATTAAGCTTTTCCACATCGGTACAGTACATGAAGAACTACTTCTTACACATGTTAGTTTCTTTGCTGTTCACCAATAATTATAGTACTGGAAGACACGCTGAGGAGTTGTTTTCTACCAGCTTCTCTACCTTGAGCTCCTCGTTTCACTGCCCTCCTGCCCCTTTTGCAGCCCCAGAGCCATTGATTTTCCAGTCTGCCAAATCCTAAGCTACTTGATCATTCTTTGGCTAAATCCGTTCTGTATTTTGATTGTCCTTGGTAACTCCTTTGGATCTCCTCCAGTTTCATAATAATATTTTTAAAAGGTAAGGAAATGCACAGGGTTCAAGATGCAGGAGTCATGGATTTATACACTAGAATAATAATGACCTCTATCCTCTTGTCTATACCTTTGTAATCATTCCTAGTATTAAGACCTGCTGTTATGACTGTTGCTTATCACCGAGCCAATGTTGTTGCAGAACTATGTGTTTTAATCCTGGCATCTTCCTCTTGAAAGGGTAACGGGTAGGCTGCAACCCACTGCTAGGTGCGCAGAGTTAGGACTGCTCTTTCTCCCTTGTGCACCAATTCTTTTTTCCATGGAGTGGATTTCATTTGCTAGTTTATCATCTAGTTGCACAGAGTAGTGAATTCAATAACATTACCCATACTCCATTTTACAGATGAGACAGGGAGGAATGAAGACATGTCCACATTTTTCAAAAGAGCAGTGTACCAGACAGGAGTGGCTGATTGATCAGGTGTCCTCATCTCATGCCTGCTTGGTGGGGCACAAACCAATTCAGCCAAACCAATTACCAAATGACATGAAGTCATGATGTATGGAGTGGATGGATGTAAAAAGAATAGATTAGGGAACTTGACATTTGAAATGTGGAAGCCACTCTGGCTAAGTGGGCTTCCTCTTTTCAACTGGAAAAAACAGTAAGTGCAATTGCTGCAGTGTAGGATTACTTATATCACAGCCTATAATAATGAGGCACGGGCTGCGGTGATTGGGGAGAAGGAGCCGCCTGGATATTGGGGCTGCCTGACTGAGACACTCACTGAGTGGARACCCAGGTGGCTGCCTCCTGTCACCAATGCTCATGCTCTCTCCTCTGCTATGATTGAGGTATGTTACCATGCTTGGGTTAGCTGGGAGGCTGATGTGTATCTTAGTTGACTTATTTCCTCATTTTTCTCTAACTAACCCCTGGAAGTCTTCGACTCTTTGAGCAATACAAGCAAACCTTGYGATACCGTACCCAAGACCAAGTGTGTGGTCCCTTGCCACTGGGAATCCGTAAACCCCTACTACAAGCAGGGGGTGGAAAATAGGTCTGTTGCATCCTCATTTTTCCCACCCCACGTGAGAAAATGTTTCTTCCAAAGCTATTTTAATGTGTTTTTCTAAAGGAGGAGGAAGGGGAAGGAAGAAGACATCTTACCTCCGTTTTAGGGAGGTCAGAATAGCCCAACAACTCTTTAGACTGACGCAAACGGGCAGGGTCCTGAAGATTTAGGCTTGCTCTTTCTTCTGCCACTAACAGGAGTGGGAGTACTTGCTGCACTGCTCTCAGGAAACCTCAGCCAGTTGTCAGCTGCTGAGCCATCCAGCTGCAAACACACAAGGACCCTGTTACTGCAGCCTGCTCATGCAGATGAGCAGATAAATGAGATGTTGGGGGCCAATTGCATGTGCACAGCTTTGCAAAAGGCTATCAACAACGTAAGTAATACAATTGTCTGCCTCGCATCACGGTTTGCACCAAAACCTCTCCCAGCTACAGCTCTGCAAAAGATGTGACAGTATTYGTTGATGTAATCAACAGCGCTGCAGTGAGGACTCAGGTTTGAAAAGCATATGGGCAATATCCTGCAAACCATTTCCATACATAGCTGTTAATTTAGAGCAGATCTTGTGTAGATATCCGCATCTTCTGTCATCTCCTTTTCTCTCCTACCTTCTCAAAACTTCCCACCTGTTTGGCTCTCAAATAGGCATTTTACTACAATGGGCAAGCTCCTCCAACACATTATGGTTAAGGGAATTTTAATAAATTACATTTGCTGGGCTGTTTTTAACTCTTAGACTTCCGTAGTCCATGAAAGACCTCTACAAAACAATTCCCTATATATCACATGTGGGGAATACTATGAGTTTTTGGAATGTGCATGCCTCCCTCTACTACATGGATCAAAAAMCAGCACCCTAGGGGTGAAGCACAGTCTTGCCTGCCCTAAAATAGGCTTTTTTCTTGCCGGCTAGCACCACCTTGATGCACGCACAAGCTCTCTTGGCCAGTCCTGCTTGACCCAASCTGGGTATTGAACCCAGCTCTTTCCAGCAGCCACCACACCTCACTTGGCACCACTCCTTTTCCACAGGGCAGTGTCGACACCATGCTGCCGGAGCGGCCCACCTCACTAGGGCATGTCAATACCCTGAGCCCAAACAGATCGTGTTTGATAAGAATATTAAGGTAAAAAGCTAAGGGCCCCCAGCAAGGGTGGACAGAGGACTTGCTGGCAGTAGGTAAATCCCATCTAGAGCACAGCCCTCTGACAGGGTTAAACCTAGTGTCTTACTCCATGTCAGCATATTGCACTTTATTCCTTTTCTGAAAGCAGTTTCCTGAAGCGACACCCCACTATGACCCAATGGCACTGAACTTTGGGGCAACAAAACTACAAATACAGTCATGCTGGCTTCATGATCACAACCAATTTCCAGAGCTGAGCAGGCTCTCCCCTGCAAAGAAGCTTCTTACGCACATGTTTTATGAAGTTCTTTTTTTTTTTAGTTATAGATTTGAATAWTTTTCCCGTGAACATAAGGAAACAAAACAGCAGCAATGACAAGCCTATATTGCCCATGTTGGGAATTCATCAAGTGCACAGTCCAGCCCTGCACAGACAGGAGATTAGCAGGACGCTCTCCTGCGGAACACACCAAGGCTTGATCTAACACCAAAAACCAGGATTTTCCGGAGTGGAAATCCCACTGCTGGTACCTCCTCTGATTTTCCAAGTGGCACTCAACTTAGATGGCTCTAAGACACATTCTTCTGGGCAAATATGTGACTTCCCTAATCAGAAGCACCTACAAAGCCAGTTTCGTAGCTGCCTCCAACCTATTAAACACAGCAGTATCACAGAATCAAGTGCTTTGATACTAAAATTGAGAAAAACAAAAACAAAACAAAAAAAAAGGAAAAATACTTACCACAAAGCCTTACTCTCTTTTGAAATAGAACTACGTCCCTCGCCAGCGGTGTCCGTCTCCGATGCTTTCCGCGTGGTCTCCTTCTCCGCAGTGCRAGCAACGGATCCTCCCGGTTTTACCTCAGCGCCGCGCAGGCGAGGCGGGATTTTCCCGCCGCTCTCGGGGGTGGGCGGAGCGCGCATGCGCGGCGCCTGCCAGGCKCTCCCTTTGCGCATGCGCCATACCGGAAGGCGGGAAAGGAGACCTGCCGTCGCCGCCATTTTATCTTCATTCGGACAGAATGAGGCGGGCTTTGCTGTATGCGGTTCTCTGCTTTCTCTCGCTCTTCCTGGCGGCTATATTGAAGCTAAACGTGCCCAAAATGTTGCTGCCTATCAGTCGGGAGCTCTGCATTCCTTTTGTGCTAGAGGGTGAGGGTGGCTGTTTTTCCTGGTGAGGAATGGTGCTAAGGGATTGAAGGATTTGTTATTTCTTAGTGAGAGGGATGCTGCTTTGAGGGGACAGGATGGGAGCCTTTTCTCAATAACAGGACTGGAGAAGGATGCAACTAAGGAAAAGTTTTAAGAAGGAGGGAAAAGAGTGAGCAGAAAACACAYAAGTTTGGGCTTGAGCAGAAGACACAAACAAGTTTGTAAGTTTGTATCTTTACAAAGGAGGGAGGAAATTGCTTCCCCTTTGGCTAATGAGCAGGGCAAAGGAACATAGGTGGGAGACTGAGCGGAGCCAGGAGTGGGGGTGGAGAGAGGAGCCTGGAGTGAGGGGGAGAAAGGAGTCGAGTGACATTAGGTGAGAACAGATGGAGGGAGGCAGGGAGCGGGGTGTAGGCGACCAGGAAGGCTGTGACTCCCGAGTACCTTGGCCARTGGGGAAAAAGAGAGGGCAACTTTGGGAAATTAGAATAAAAAGGTGGCTGCGTCCTCTGTCAACTGCAGAGACCCCAGAGGGATATGCCTGGTGGRCTCTCCTTTATTCGAATAAAGTTTCAGGTCTCCTCTGTCTCCTTTTTGGACATTCAGTTCTTGGCAGCAAGATTTTCCATATGAGAGCATTTTCTCCTGGGTTAGGGTAACATCAGGGGAGCACAAAAATCTGCCTTGCTTAGCTGCAAGAGGCCTGTTTATTTGGTTAGAGCCGGCAATGTTTGTTCTAGAGCTCTTACCTTTGCTCTGTGTTAACACCAGAACGTGGGGCAAAAGAGAGGGGCAAAAGCTGTTGGCCTGGTGCACCTTTGGAGCAAGTATGTCAGGTGTACACTCATAGTACTTTTAAAAAGGTTGCTAAAGTATGAAAAAAAAAAGACCAGTATTAATCTGCATTTCTTTTAAGTTTTTAAACTTAACTTCAAGCRGGGGCGGGGGGGAGGATCTTTCAGTTACTCCACATATCACCATATAGTCAATGTTGAGCCCATTTATGGTAAGAGTACCATTTGTTCACCAAAAGCGTTGCTGTCCGCTCARTCTTTGCAGGCCACAAAGCTAAGCAGTGTGGTGATAGCTGAGGAACGCGGTAGGTAGAAAAGGGAAAAATTCATAAAGCACCAAGTAATTTGGGAGACGGGGCTGTTCACGGAAATCAWGGGCTGTGCATATAGATTTTAGGAAAGAAATTATTAAATTGTTCTAAAAAATGCAAAATACGTGAGGTTGCAGCAGAGTTCCACCTCAGGCTTATCGTATTGAGTCTRTCATTTTATCAGTGTGTTGTGGAGTACCTCGCTGCCTGTCATTTTAACTGTGCACTGTGGACTCCCTGATTAGGGAATGTCTCTCCCTCCTCTGCATGGAATCTGACAGAGGAAGCCCTCGAGATGCCTCCAGCACAGGCACAAGGATTGCTTGGCACCCTAGGAAAGAGCCTAAGGCACAGTACCCTGCACACTGGCTGATGCGCCCGGCTGTGCAGCAAAGCCCAGAGGAGCTGCCTACGGCTGCGTGCTCCAAACAATAATTAACTTGTTGCTGGTTTGCCCCCGCATTACAGTAATTGATGATTAAAGCTGCCACAGGACGCTGCTGAGGCCTGGCACGCAATAAGGCTGTTTGGTTCCTCTCCTCCAAATTCCCACCATCAAGCAATTTCGTTAAACGCATCATGTGTTCTGGGATGGTAGCTGCTTTGCTGTTTCCTAATCAGCTGGGGCAATTTGCATCGTCTCTGGCTGTGCTTTACATCAAACCTCATTTGATTCGCAGCTATGCTGCAGTACTGCTAAAGACAAGCATCCTTCAAATATGCTTTCTGCACACATCATTCCTCTTCTTTACCATTTTAGATGAAAAGGGCAACATACAGCTGTGTGTGCTAATTATGAGCATGCTTCTATACTGCACTCGGAGTCATCCTCTGCTTTGTTTCTGAAACAGTCCGCTTTTCTAATCCCATGGTTGATACAGTGTAAGATTGATAATGACAATGGCATAACTAAGCTCAGCTCTGGGTTTTAAACGGGGACATTTTGGCTTGTCTGATGCAAGCAGCACTGCACCCAGGCAGCTGTGTGGCAGGAATCTCAATGTAAATTTAACCTAGCACTAGGTTGTGTTTTTACATAAGCAGAGTAGAGACAAGCAACTTGAGATATTGCTGTACATTGGCATAAAAGCTAATTTGAAGATGATCAGCTCAGAGTAGATCTTAGATAACAAAGGTCATAGGTGAGAGGCAGAGATCTTCCAGGCAGAGATCTCTGTTGGCCTGAGCCACTGCCTAACTGGAAGCCAGGTGTCTTACTGCATGTTTCAAGCAAACGTRTTTGTATCATCAAGCCTTACCCATAGGCAGATGGCTGGAATTGCACAGTGGGGTTCCTTCTTGCAGTCTGCTGTGACAAAGAGCACTTTGAGCCAGATCCAAAACCTCTTCAAGTCAATGGGAGTTTTTTCAATTAACTTCAGCAGAACTTGGGTAGGATCCAGGGAATTAAGTGACCCTGGAGAAGTGTTTGGGGCATCTGCTGAGACTCTCCAGGGAAACTTTCCATTTCCTTTCCATGTGGTTTTTTTTTTCTTTTCTTTTTTTTAAAGACAGTTCTGAAACAGAAAGGATTAGTTTAAGTTTCTAGAACTTCTTAGCTTAGCACTACAGGAAAATCTGGGCTATGTTGAAGTGAGAGGGAATTTTGCCTTTAATGAGAATTGCATTTTATGCCCACTATTTCCACTACCCAGGAAGTTTTGGCAATCTCATTCTTGCAGCACAAAAATGAAAATGCCAAAAACAAGCACCTAAGCATTGCTCTTGAAATGCCCTCTACAGCTCCATTGTATCTGGAAACTTTCCGTTCTTCCATTTTTTGGGCTTGCAGCAGCCCTACCTGTACGATCTATCAAAATCAGCCTTTTCACTCTTTCTACATCTAAATTGCCTTAGAATGTGCAACAATAAAGGGGAAGCCCCAGCAATATTGCTGGTGTGCTTCTCATATGCGAAGTGTAGCTATTCCCCTACTCAATTTTCCTTCTGTCCTGAGCAGAAAGACATACTAAATACTGTTAAAATCCACAGCATGGCCCAYTGACCATAATGCATCTTCAACAAATTTATATGCAAGGCCACGACAAGCAGGCTTGGTRGCTTTTTAAATGAAAAACGAAATTAAGCATTACTTTCCCTGGAAGAAATCGGCTCAGATATTCAGAACCTGATCTGCTTAGGACGGCAAGTAATGAGGTCTACTGGGGATACAAGTAAAAATTTCCAACGTTTACTTCAGCCTGGTCAATGGGGAGCCAGAGTGAAAACGATTCCTTGAGGTTATAGCCAACAAAGACAAAACTAAAACCCATTCTCAAGGTGTAGTATGCTGTCTCCCACCGAGTCCCGTTGGGTGCTACAGAAATTATATCCATTGAATAGGCTTCCTCGGGGGCTGGAGACACTGTGGCTGCAGAGAGACTGCACAAGACACATTAAGGACACAGCTGAGGCAAAATGCTGTTTAGAGGACCACTGTTTTCCATGGCAAAACCTCCTGACTTCTTAAGCCCAAAGAAGTGCAACCACATGATTCCTCCATATATAGCTAAAGAACTGCACTTTTCATATTTGTGACCAGCAAATAGAGTTTTGATGTTCTCTTCATTCATCTAGAATATGTAGTTTCATTTTCATCTGAGAAATTGAAGACYGTTTATGCTGGCATTTAGAAAAGCAGCTCTTGACTTCTTATTAGTCCAGAATTCCTTGCATCAAAAGACTCCCTTATTTCTTTACTTATGGAAATACTCTGAATCAAAACAAGAGGTTCCGATTTTGGTAAAAATATTTCCRAATATCTCCTTGAAAATACAGACGTGTTTTTTATGTTGAACCTGAGTGAAAATGCTGTTGATGAACACCTGGAAATGCTGCGATGCCTTGAAAGAAAAGCAGCAGCTCCAGTGAACGTTGATGTCCAGTGGCACAGTGGGCCCACAGGCCAGTGCCCTCCTGTCACCCACAGAAGGACTGGTGCAGGCCAGGCACCCCAGGCCTCCTGCATGGCATGCTCCTGCCCATTTTCAGGCAACCTGCCACTGAAATAATGCTGGTCCCAAGACAACAAGAGGGAAAAGCTAGATTAAAACAACTCTGTAGCTTACCATTAAGAGCACCTTCCTCAGACACAGAAGCGGCCTTTGGTGATACACTCCAGCATCACCTGCAAGAGCAGTATGACAAGGCCTCCCTGATTACAAAAGGAGATTGGGGTTCTTCACTCATTCAAATCCTTGAAGATACTTCAAGGTTAAATATCCTTCTAAAATAGCGGCAGAAGGACACTGAGGCAGTCAATATTCTGTTTGTTGCCACTGTCACTGTTATCCCAATCCYGGCATGCAAATATCTCTCTTATTTAACAAGTTCTTCAGCAACTACAGCCTGACGTTCATAGAGGTAGGATGATAAACCTAAGGGTCTGACATTGTAAAGAGTCAAACCACTAAAAGACTCTTCTGGAAGATAATTTGATCTTTCATTACCTTTCCAAATCAATCTCACCCAATCTTCCAAACTGTATCCTGAGCTATTGAATATATTTCTTCGCTGTAAACACTCAGACAAAGTCAGCGTAAAAATCTTGCTATCAGTTAACTAGCTTGAAGTCTTTCCTATATTTT